GAAAATGAATTTAAAAAATATTTAAATAATTATGAATAGGTTTTTGTCATTCTTTAGAATGAAGAATTATTTTTTTTTTATTTTAAAAAAATTTAAATTTTTTTAAACAAATAAAAGTAATTTTTTTAAAATAAATAAAACACAACCTGAATCTGAATAACTAATAAATAATAATCAAAAGCATGATAAAGCAATTACTGAGTTTAATTATTTAATGAAAGCTTACAAAGCATTTTATAAATAAAATCAAAGTTTAATTCAAGAAAATGGAAGTTGAAAAATTGCTATTGAAGGGTAATAAAATTAAAAAAAAAAACAAAAGAAGCTTGACAAGAAGCATTAGCTAAGGTTCAAGATTTTTTACTAAATATGATAACAGACGTGAAGATGTTATTAGCAGACAAACCACCTCCAAAGGAATTTCCTTAATTTTATTTAATGATATATTAATTATTTTTTTTTGTTTTTTATATTAAATTTTTTTATAGTTTTGATCTTTATTATATAAAATATTAAAATATATGTTTTTTTTAAAAATAAATGTATTTTTTTTATTTTTTTAATAAATTTATTAATAAAAAATTAGGTTGAAAAAAGATCTTGCAATTCAAAAATTTGGCTAATTAACTAGTGCTTATAAAAGATTGCAAAAAGAAAATAAACTTTACATAACGATATAAAAAAACTGTTTGAAGATATTAGTAAAAAATTGAATACTGATACTTTAGTGATAATTTAGCTGATAAATTAAATCCTTTATTAACTAGAATTAATTATGAAACAGTAAAAGAAAAGTGTAAAGAAGCATTAGATGAAATTCAAGATTTTTTAACAACTATAGTAGTAGATATTAATAATTTATTAGATGGTGATTAACCTAATAATGTACTTCTTCCTTCTAATATATCTTCTCTAATAAGTTAATTTAAAAACAATTATAAATACTATATTTTTTATTTATTTTTTTTAAAAAAAAATTAAAAATAATTAAAGTATGTATTATTATATATTGCAATAAATTATTTTAAATAATTTATTAATTAATAATTTTATTTAGTATGAAATTAAGCAAAGTCATTTTATTTTTGATTCTATTATTATTTATTTTTACAAATGTGCAACAACAAAAAAGACGACCTCATTGTTTAGTTTGCAAGCAAAATAATGTTGATATGGTTGGCTTTAATAAGTGTACTCATATAGCTGTTGGTAATCATCAACGAAAAAATATCGCAGAATTCATATTGAGAACTTAAAGGAAAAATAATAATACTTATTATATTTTAACAAATAATAAAAATACAAGAATTTTATTTCATCGAATGATTTGCCCAAATTATAATATGATATTAATCATTGTGAACTTGATACTAGAAAATGCAATCTTAGAAATAACTTCAAAAGAAAATCAATTAAATTGTAAACTTCAAAAAAATAATACTTTAGGTTATAATGGAATTAGTTTTAATAAATTAAATTAATATTGAATTTTTTGTTTTTATAAAAACTAAAAACAAAAATATAAATATTTTAAAACAAAACAACAAGCAATTGCTTTTAAATTAGTACATGATTAGAAAACAAAAAATATGAATAGAAAATATTAATTATTTTTAAGTAATTCTAAAAATGCTTGCCATAAATTATTTCTATTTTTTTGTCTAAAAATAAATTCTTTTAATAAAGGTTCAATAATATTTTTTCTTCTTTTTGATTTTGGAATAAAATCTTTTAATAATTTTCAAGTATTTTCAATATGATTCGAGTGTATTTTTCTTAATCTTTGTTTTTGTATTAATTGTCATAAATAATTTATTCTAAAATGTTTATATCTAAGCTTTTCTATTTTTTGATACCCTTTCCAACAATCTGTATATATTGTTGATCCCAATTTTACAAATTTTTTAATAAGTTTTGTAAGTGTTTCTGTATTTCTATTATCTACTATAATAAAAAAACATTTTTTTTCTTTTGTTCACTCAATTTCACCGAAAACCCAAAAATTTTCAAATAAGCTTTCATCTAATTCTACTATAATACCAGGTCCACCAATAATAGTATCTTCAATTTTTAATGAATTAATAGCTAATTGTCTAAAATTTGTAATAAATCGACGTATAGTTAATTGTGCAATTTTAGTTATATTGTGAATTTGTAGTATTCGAAGTTTGTAAATCCAGTAATAACCAATTAATAAAATATTATTACATTTTAATCGATGTTGAGAAAAAAATGAATTTTTAAAAATGTAACCATTTTTTTACAGTTAGTATTTTTACATCTAAATACATTTTTTTTAAGATACTAATATATTTCTCCATCACAAAATTTACATTTTTCAGGTTGTTGAATTATTTTTTGTTCGATTAAAAGCTTAATACATTCTTTTTCTTTAAAGAAAATTTTATATAATGATTTTAAATTTGGGGCATTCATTTTTTTTAAAAAAATAAAAATAGAAATAAATCTATTTATAGTTATTTTTATTTTATTTTTTTATTTAAATAAATATAATACAAGACTAATTAAATTCTATAATAATTAATTGTAAACATAAATATTAATATAAAAATTAAAATAAACTAAAAATAGATTCTTTAGTTTTATCTCAACACAACTATTTTATTATAATAATATAATTTGTTTTTTTGTTTTTTTTTTAAAAGAAAAAAATTATTGCTATTTTTTTTATTTATTTATAGGTCTATTCAAACCAAATATGTTTTAAAAAAGAATATGAAAAATTAGAAAATGAAAATAAAGAATTAAAAGCAATACTTGAAAAAGAAAGAGAAAAAAAAGAAAAAGAACAAAAAGAATTTCAAGAAAATATGAAAATTTAAGAAAAGAAGCTCAAATTCAAAACTAATTTATATAATATTCATGTTAGTAGATTATTATAGTTTCATTAAATTAAATAAATTTACAAAAGATTTTAAAACTATACTTGAGTTAAAAGAAAGAATTATTATAGATAAAATCTTAATTGAAGAAATTTAAAATTATTTAATTTTATCGAAAACAATTTAGAGCAGCAAAAAAATAATATTATTAATATTATTATAACTAATAATAATCAAAACAAGGTTACTTTTATATAAAACAATTAAATAATAATAATCGCAATTAAATCACTCAAATTTATTTTGTTTAAAACAAAAAATAACA